TTCGGAGTTCGAGCTTTGGTTTAGGATCCCCTTAAAGACCGTCAACCCTGCGCAAATATAAATCGGCGGTATAAAAGGAATCCCAAGGGCCCAGAGATAATTGAAGAACGCTGACATTATCGACAATTGATATAAATTTGTCATTATTAACATAAATATTTGGTTCATACATTATTAAATTCATGATTTTTTATTACATAAATGTTCCATAAATAAATATGCATACTTGTAAAGTTATAATATTCTATGTATTGGAGAAAAATTACAATTTTTTCTCTGGAGTTATCATCTCGGTTGATAATCAAACTTTGATAACACTGAAATCACAAATTTAAAGAAAAATCGAGTATTATTGAGTTCTAAATGCATAAATATGTCTACTAAACGAATAAATCATAAAATTAGTATAATATTATCAGTTTTTAACTCTTAATTATATTTCAGTATTCACAAAGACGCGAACTCCCGTAAGGATGCCGCGGGTTTTTAATAGTATCTCGTCGGTGACCGCATCCATTGTCGTGAATTGTGATGCTTCCAGAGACACAGTGTAACACAGTTATTATTTCATATTTGTTTAACATTGGCAAACAACAAGGCTGTAACGTTATAGTGTATTATTTGTGTCTTTTACTGAAAAATACCTTTGGTTAGTCAAAAGAATCAAATGCTTTGATTCTCACGTAACAGGTCTCTACACATATTTCACTTTTATTAAAAAATGGGCGCATTTTCCATATATTTAAGTTATAAATGTTATAGAATCTTAGAAATAAATTTTCTAAAAATAATTTATTTGATATTGATGTTTATTAATATGATTTATTTATCGATAAAAGTGAGCTGTAATATGATATTTCATTCGGCATTCAATGACACCCGAATTCGTATATCAACCTCTGACCTCTGACGAGTGAATGTGCGGCACTATACAATTTCAAATGACTGGCGCGAAGAAAATGGCGCAAGCGCATTATAATATATATATATATATGTGTGAGAAATAATCGAATATCGAGATTCAAAATATCTATAAGACGCTACGCTTTGGCTTAGCGCCGAGACACTATCGTGTCTCCTGATAAGTATATATATGTATATACAATATTATATGTATGTACAGGGTGTCCGGTAAGTTTTGACAAAGCGCTTGTGTGTACACAGAACGGATTAAACTAAGTCGAAAAGTCCTCTATCATTTTGCAATTTTCGCAATAATTAACAAGGTATTACTAAAGATCGCTGAATATTTGTTTTCAATCATCTTTTACTCAAACACTATCAACTTTACAGCAAAACAACGAGAGACAAAAATTATTTATTTTCTTCTCATAAAGTTCTGAGAATTTTTTCAGAATTTTTTAATACCGCGCGTATATTTTCATGTTGCTAAAAATAAGAAAATATAGTACTAAAAAGTTAATAAAAAATTCTGAAAAAATTCTAGAGTTCTATGAGAAGAAAATTAATGATTTTTGTCTCCCGCTATTTTTTTGTAAAGTTGATAGTATTTGTGTAAAAAATTATTGAAGGCCACAATATTCGGCAATTTTTAATAATTAATATCTTGTTAACTATTACGAAAATTGCAAAACGATAGAGGACTTTTCGACTTAGTTCAGTTCGGCTCTATCCACACAAAAACGGTTGGCAAAAACTTACGGGACACCCTATATATGTATATATGTATATATAATATATATACATATTAAAATTATATCGTAAATAAAATAACAGCATAATTAACAAAATTATTAGGTTCTATAACCAATTTTTTTTTAAATAACTTTTAAGTTTTCTAAGTTTATTCTAAATTTGTTAAATGTGAATATCTTTCGGTTAGTAACGAAACAAAAGTGGTACAATCATACCGCCTCTGGCAACACTGGTAGCTTTCTAAACCTAAATCTAAATAGATTCATATCTAGATTAAACGTAAACCGAGAAAAAAAGATTACATCGGTCGAATATTGTTTAGCTTCAAACGCTTTAAAATAAAAAAATATTCTTCTAAAAACAACGTCAAAGATCAAATTATGTCACTGCGAGACTCAACTAATGTCAACAAAATGATATCAACACCAGCAACTAGTCAATCTAGACATAA